GGCTTGCCTAAGCAGAGAACTCACGGTGGAACTGCAATGCAAAGGTCGTACACAGAATATGGAAACCGGAACAGCTACAAAGGCGGAATTTAGAAATATTGCCTAAGCATGTAGGAAAATCCAAGCTCACAGAGAGCTGACACTTGCAAGGGACTTCAAGGGCAACAAGAAGACCTTCTAGCACTACATGAGTATCAATAGACTGAACAAGGAAAATTCCCATTGCTGAAATGGGGCAGGTGGATTAGTAACGGTGGTCACGGATAAGGCTGAGGTACTGAAAGCCACCTTTGTCTCAGTCTTCTCCAAGAAGGCCTCTCAAGCCTCTGTGATTGGTAAAAGGGTTCAAGGAGGAGAGGAACAGTGCGTGAGGGTCAAGTCAGGGATTACATGAGAAATCTCAAACCCATACAAGTCTATGAGACCCGAATAACTGCAGTCAAGGGTGCTGAGAGGTGGCCAATCCACTTTCTATCATCTCTGGCAGGTCGTGGAGATCAGGGGAGGTATGTGAGGACTGGTGAAAGGCAAATGTTGCACCCATCTTCAAAAAAAGGTGAAAAGATTGGCCTGGGGAACTACAGGCCTTTCAGCTTGGAAAGTCATGGAGCAAGTCCTCTTGGAGCACATTTCTGGACACACGAAAGAGAAAAAGATAATTGGAAGTAGTCAGCATGTATTTACCAAGGGTAAACCATGTCAGACCAATCTGATTGCCTTCTGTGATAAAATGACTGCATCTGTGGATGAGAGAACAGTAAAAGTCATTTACCTTGACTTTAGCTAAGCTTTTGGTACTGTCTCTCACAAATATTCTTGTATCCAAATTGAGTCATTGTGGTCTGGATATGTGGACAACCAGATGGGTAAAATCTGGTTGGATAATTGAGCTCAGACAGCCCAGTGGTTAATGGACTTTACCTGGATACCCGTGACGAGTGGCATACTGAAGGGACCATCGGGGACCTGTCCTGTTTAACATCTTTATCAGTCACTTGGAGGAGGTGACAGAGCGCACTCTCATCATATTTGCAGATGACACCCAATTGGGGTGACCAACTGATACATTCAAGGGCTGGGCTGTCATCCAGAGGGACACAGTCAGGCTGGAGGAATGGCCCAAAATTAACCCTGATCGCAGCCATTAGTCTCTCGAATTTACTCTGTCCAGAAGAGGAAAAAGAAAATAAAAATCACTATTTTGAAATAGCTTTTTCAAAACTGGTATTGTGAAAAATGATGAAGTACATTTCCTAGAACTCTATGCATTACATCAGCCCTTGTTAGTCTGTTACAAAACAGCTTCATGTAACAATGGGCAACTTATTGAATTATATGAACTCAAATTGTCCATTTAGTCCTTTCTTGTGAAAGGTTGGCAACATTTCTGAAGCTTTTCTTAGGCTGCTGTTTTTTCCAGAGCTCCTCCTAATGCAACAATTATTGATGGTAAACTAAGACACTATTACCAATAGATTTTTCAGACCATGTAGAGTGATTTTCTCTCTCTTTCATTCGTAATGAGCTATTCATGAAACAGCTAGCAACATCTACATCAACAGGAATCAGTGGAACAACATATGCAACAGATTCAAGCAATTCACCCCACACCAGTGCCCACAACCGCCCCGCAAGATGCCCTGATGGGGCCAGGCCAAGGTCCAGCTGGGGAGTCACGCTAGCAAGGTAGAATGAACGTCAGCAGGGTACGAGGCTGGGCACAGGACCGAGGGCCTAAACTAAACTGCAGTATATGAGCCAAGGGGCAGAGTTTGCACGCGTGGAGGTCCCTGATGAGGTGTCTGCCAGCTCTTTCTGCCCTACTCCCTCCCTGCATTGAGACCCCAGGCTACTCAGCCAGGCCAGAGCAGAGCTAGTTGCAGCATGGGCAGCCAGGCCTTGAGGTAGGGAGAGAGGTTGCAGAGCTGGCTGGTGCACACATGGCCCTGGTGAATTAGTTCACAGTAGAGTTTAAAATAGAACAGTTAAAAACAATTCAGCTGCTCTTTGGACAGCCTGAAGCTACTGGTCAAATGAGACATTAAGACCATCCTTGGATTATGCAGACCCTGATCAAACATGCAACCACAAAAGGATGAAAATCCTTTCACTAAAATAAACTACCTTTTTCAGGAAGCGTCACGGGGATAAAAGTGGTCAAAATTGTCTCTGAACACTTTAGTTAGGATTTGTCTGTTCTCTTCACCTGGGATGAGATGTCTCATTTGTCCTTCCGGCCCAGTCCTTCAGGCTGTCTTCACCAACCTTTCCGATCCTTGTCCTCTTTCTCTGGCTCTCGGGTGATGAGTGTCATTTTAGAGCAGGCTCATGCCCAAATCCTCTCCCATATCACAAAGTCAGAGGTAGGTTCTCAACCATCAGACACAGCCAACAGTGAGCAATGCTTGCTTGGAAGGTGTAATGAACTTGTTTTTGGATAGGAAAGAATGGCATAGTATTGAACTATTAAATTGAACGATTATAGTTCCTATTAACAGATTAAATGAAAAACAATTAGGATGAGAGAGCAGCCCAGAGAGGATGCTGTCCTTTAGCCTGAGCAGTACACTGTAGATATTCAGGGTCTTCCTGGGTTATGTTTATTAAGAGAGGAATTGATTATGTAAGTCACGTATTGCCTCTGAAAATACAGGAGACTGAGCTGAGGATGTGCATGCCCACCTGTATTATGACAGTATCGAGTAAGAGGAGAGAAGAGATTTTAACAGTTTTTTATTCAAAATGCTAACACACAAGTTTATTTTCCAAATGACTTACCTAGTAAGGGCATCTTATTTCTTCTTTCAGGTAGCTTGAGTGGACTATGACTCATAGCCACTACACGACTATGGAAAGCACCAGCCTCAGTGAGGTCTGAAGCAGTGTAGATATCAAAGTCACTGTATTCAGGATTCACCAACCTCTGTCAGCCCACTCCTTCAGATTCATTAGAGATGCACACCGTGATGAGGTAAAATACCCTACCAAATGTTATTATTATAGCAGATAAGATGATTTATCCTTGCACAGAGAGTGTCTAATGAAAATATATGACTAAACCTGACTCAGGTTTTCTTTTTGTTTATTCTGCCCTACTCTAACTCTATTGTTACATTTAAACTAGGCTTCACTAATATGATCGTTTCTCAGACTGCTAATATTTGGGGAATATTTTAAAGGAATCCCTTCTCTTGTCATCTTGACAAGCTTTGTGACTCAGTAGTGGTCATCTCCTGATGGTGGTGAGCCTCACAGTGGTTGCAACACCCTTATTTGCTGCTCTTGAGAGGAATCAAGAATGTTAGCTAAATTAAAAGTTCAGAAAATTATGAAAACAGTCAGCGTGAGTCACTGCTGTGTCCTCCCATTGTCTTCAGTTTCTCCCAGTTTCTCCTATCAGGTAGGCATACTGATACAAACTTTCTATTATAAATTCCTATGGCAAGGGATGATGGTGCTATAGAAAAGTTAAGTAAGAAGATAGTGGTAGGAGAGGTGGCTGGTGGTAGCCAAAGTAGAGCATATTTGATGAATAGGCAATTCCAGACTCACTGACACAGGCGCTGGTTATGGTCAGTTCAGGCTATGTAAAAGAAGAAAATAAATTCCTTTAGTGAGCAGAATATTTGGAACATGCCAGTCCTGTCCCCAAGGTACTGAAAAAGCTGGTGGGGCCAAAGATGAAGTAGTTCTGGAGACTGATTGCAAATTCCGCAACTGAGACATGGACTTATGTGCACACTTCCCTCAGCATTGCCTCACTTATTTATTCTATAGTGTTTTCACCCATAATATCAAGGTTTCACAAAGTAAAATATTATTAACATGCCCTTCTGGTGGGATTCAGGGGGTAATGCGGTGTGAACTGAAAAGCAAAGATATTTGCGATTGGAAATGTCCATGAAGCAACTCTCTATTGGTGGACACTAGCATACTAGCATGTCTAAAATGTCTGTAAGCAAAAAAAAAAAAAGAAGAAGAAAAAAAAGTTGGGGATTAAGAATAGTTCTTCCTCTAACAGGCTGACTAATAAAGAACCTGCCTCACTCCTAAGAAGCCTGGTGAATTCATTGCCTTCCTACCTACACTGTAGGGGGGAAGGTAAGGAGTAATTCAAATCACTCTTGCTACGGGAGCTTGAGAACAGCAAGAAATAAAAAAGAACCTATTACGTGAAGAACAGCTACTTTCTTCTCTGCACGCCACATACCTTATCATGCAAAACAAAGTGGGAAGTGCCTAACACTTAGCATGACCTAGAGCCACATTTAAATTTGCTGGAAGTTAAAGTAAATATTGTTCGTTAGATTCTCACATTTACATGACTGCAGAGTCTTTCACTAACCTGACATGACTGAATTCAACAAGTAGCTTTGGTAATTTTCTTTTCATTTGAAAATTCAAACACTTTTGCTCCGAGTCCATGATATCGTAGCCTAACACGAACCACATAAAACCAACTCAGAACAGCACATTGAGGAAGTTCTGAAATTAGGATCTGATGTTTTCAATACCACTTCTTTGCCTGCAAATATGCAAGAAAGGATAATTTTCTTGGCTGTTTGAAAATGCTTGCTTAAGGATTGATCTTCCCAAAGGGAGAACCTGGCTGGTATGACCTCAGCTCATTTATGCTGAGGTCATAAATGCTGTATATAGACAGTCAGGTCTTGACAGAATTAAGCGTTCATGTTGTAAGCACTTTAAATATGGACTAGTAACAAAAAAACTGCAGTTATCTGCAGAAAATATTATTTCTGAAAATGTGTTTTTCTGTAGGAGAGGCATTTCTATGAGCATGGTCATCTAGTATGGCCACCATGTAGTTGTATGTTTTTGTATAATGAGTTTACATATTGTGACTATTAGTGCTCAGTACATCCAACATAACAGGAAGAACGTTACTTGCACGACCAGTTCGTGTGAAATCATTAACATCTGCAAATAAGCAAATTTAAGGAAGTTCAAAAGCAGTGAGGGAAATGATAAACTGACTCGCATTCTGACTTGCAGCATTTGCTATTGAACACCAGCACATAGTAACAATTGCTAACAGGCAGAGCAGAACATCTACCTGATGACTGCATGATCACTACTACAGGTTCAAGTGTCTTTGCTGCTGCGATCTAAAATCAAATAAGACAAAGGAGGAGGGTTTTTTGAAGAGGAGGTATGTCTATCTTTGCTGTTGTCCGTTGCTTGTTTCTTGTGACATGGAAGATATGATGCATAATACAAATGTTTGTAAAGGCTTGTTAGGTCCACTCGAACTAGTACACTTGCCAAAGCTGGATTGATTTCTTTCTTATCTAAGAAAACTAAAATTTTGATGAGGCATTAGCCTATTTGATGAGCAATGTAAGTCTGTATAAAATTTTCAGAGCTTTCTGCAAGAATCAAGGAAGACTGAAATGTGTCTCATGTCTGTCGCTCTGTTAGACATCTGTTATTTGACATTTATTTTGCAATAACTGAAAGAAATGCTATCTTCTGTCTCCTTTCTAAAAATTAATCTAACTAAAAATATGTGGAATACTACTAATACACCTCCTTCAGCCTGCTGGCAACACTCTTCCTAATGCACCCCAGGATACCATTGGCCACCTTTGCTGCAAAGGCACATTGCTGGCTCATGGCCAACTTGTTGTCCATCAGGACCCCCATGTCCTTCTCTGCAGAACTGCTTTCCGTCAGGTCAGCCCGTAGCCTGTACTGGTGCATGGGGTCATTCCTTCCCAGGTGCAAGATTTTGCATTTTCCTTTGCTGAACTTCATGAGGTCCCTCTCTGCCCACTTCTCCAGTCTGGCAAGGTCCCTCTGAATCACATTATAACCACCTGACAAATCAACAACTCCTCTTAGTTTTGTATCAACTGCGACTTTATGTCATCTACAAAAATCAAAATATTGATCTAGAGATTGAATCCGTTCTAGGAATGTTGCATTTAGGCAGCAATATAAAAGAAGTATTTCACTATCTGATACGTATTGTCAGGTTTTTATTCCTATTGCTATGCCTCCTGGTAAGTTTGGCACATATATGAAGCTCTCCATATGCCCACAATTTATAAACATCACTTTATCCTCACACCATCCTATGAGGGAAATTCCAATTCTCATTTCTTGAATGGGCAGGAGAAACTTTCCCAAAGCCACCCAAGAAAATAAAGTCACTAGCAAAGAGGGGAATTAGAAGCAAGGAATCTTGATCTGAGGTGGTATCTCCTGGTACAGGATGCTGCCTGTACTCACAGGCTGCAAGCAAAGACAATAAACTCTACAGATTTGCAGGATAACAAATTAAAGTGTTTAAGTCAGATTTTTTATGCATATATTTCTGTGGAAACTACTATAGGTATATCACAGCCTTTAAACATGACTGTATTTTCCTTCTGGTACATTTATGACTCAGATCATTCCAGAGCAGACTGGAGTTTGACCATGACTGTTTACAAAAGATCAAAAAGGCACATGTTTGCTAGTATACCACAAAAGCATCCAGCTTACCAGGGAAATGCTCACTGCTGCTGAATAAGACATATCATTTCTGGTAACATTAGATAACAAGTTTGGCAGTAATTTAAATGTCATCTTTGATAAGATTTTGCTAGTGGAAAAGGAGGACATAGCCAAGAAAAATTAAACATACAGGGTCATGCCCATACCTCTAAACAAAAGAAAGTCAGGAACAGAACCACGGCTCCAAGGCCAAGCAGCACTGGCTGGTTCACAGCCCCATAGCTTAGGTGACAGACAGCAAATCTGTCATGGAGAGATGTAGGTGGAATAGTTTGAAATGGAGGTAGGAATTGAGCCAAGAATTAAGGACTGTGGAAAACCAGGTCCTTGAGTTCCCTCTATAGCCCTTCCTCATTTAGCAGTGTAGACACATGCTGAAAAGCCAAGACACCTGTAAGGCTGGCCAGGAGAAAAAAAAAGAAAAGAGCAGAGCAGAAACAAAGAGAGAGATAAGGATGACAGTTTTCATCTTCATTGATCTCATACTAGTTGTTTTTATATTATTTTCTATGTTGATAATAGATAAGGAAATACCACTTATGCAAGTGTATCTGTGTTTATATTGGCCTGTTCCTCCAAATAAGTCTGACTGTGTCTTATTTGACAGTCTTATTTGACTGTGTCTCTCGGCAAAAGACCAGTCTGGGAAAGGGTGGAGGCCCCGGAGGCATGTAGCTCCTGTGCATGTGGCGGCGGAGCCATTTGCCTGGCCACCAGGCATGGATGGGCCAGGCAGGCGGCTTAGGGCTTGACACAGCTTCTCTGCCTCTCGCCCTGTTGGCAGGCCAGAGAGAGGCTGGGGGCACCCGGCTGTGTGTTGGCACATTCAGCTAAGGAATGCGGAGGGCAACCCGACACTGACTCCTTCATGTATAATCCATTTTAAAAGTCAGTCAACCACAAAACACAAATCCATTGGGAAGCAAACAGCCTGAGCGCTGGGGTGAGTGGAACTACTCTTTCTAGAAAGGAAAGTGAATTTTACAGGCCCTGCTCTTCCTGCTGCAAACGCAATGCCATGTCCAGAGCCTGGAAGCAATGCCAACAGCAAGCACTTCTCCAAGCAGGATGAAGTCTCTTTGGCAGTGCTATAGATGAATGTTTCCATGAGAAAATGCAGAGAACACTCGCGGTTTGGGGCTGTTGTCATACGTTCGACATATGAGGGCAATTTTGCCAGGAGCCATGAGGGCAGACGGAGGGAGAAGACAAGAAGGACGAAGCAAAGAAAATGCAGGGAAGGGAATAGACAGTTGGGAGAGAAAAGTAAAAGTAAAAGCCTAAAAAGGAACATAAGATGAGAAAAGGAAGGAAAAAAGACTCAGAGCAGCTGAACAGAAGACAGAAGAGGGACAAAAATTTGCTTATATGAGAAGGGGCAGAGAAAAGGGACAGAGCACTCCAAGTTCCTATGTACAATGCTGGGGAGATTACTGATAGCATGGGAAAGTGGAAAGAATTGTAGAGCCCATTATCTCATAGAGCATTTCTGTGCCAGTCCTCTGTATTGTTTGTACCAAAAATTCTTCAGTATCACTTCCTAGCAGCTGTGGCCACATCCTTGCTGTAACATGATGATTTACATAGAAAAGATTGATGCTACAGAGATAAACAGAGAAACATTAGGCTACAGTGAAGAGTGTCTCCACTGCAACTCCTGCATGACTTTCTGTCCTAACTCGATTCTTAGAGACTGTGACTGACAGGTCATATTAAGTCATTCTGCATGAAATGTGACATTTGTGTGGAAATAAGCAAGACTTTAGCTTGCCTTGAGAGTCTGGTTAGGTTTTTGCTTGCACCACAAATTGAGTCAATCTGAAATCAGTTCTCTTGAAACAGCTGTAAATATTAATGTGGAAGGACAATAAATTAACAAAATATAGTTGTTTCTTTTTTCCCATGTTTATAAGAATTTACCTCACAACCTTAGCATTAACCTAGAAACACCTGCAGTCAAGAAAATTACTGCTAGGAAAATAGACTACTAGGACATATCAAAACAAAAAATTCCATTAATCAGTGTTGCTTCTTCACTTAGAAAGGAATAGAAAAACAAGCACTAGGAGAAGAGAAATTATTTCCAAAGAGTTTTAACTTCTCTGAGAAAAGAAAAATGGTACCCAAGCTCTGGATATCAGCTCTGTCAGGAGCTGATGCCAGCGTTTGACTAGCTCTGGGCAGACTTCCACACCCCATGAATGAATCTGAAATTACCTTTTGCAGGTACTCACACTTCTTCATTAATTTAATTTATTATTCTTCATTAATTTAAATCCCTAAAATGCTCTGTAACAGCTGACTCCTAAGTTTCTGACATTGCAACAAGAAAGTTCAGCATTTGAAGCAGACCGTTCTGGGATGAGGGTGGTAAATATCTAAAAAGAGAGAGAGAGAATCCAGTTTAAAAAGTATAGAGCCATTAGGCAAAAGCAGTAGGAAAACCTGTGAAGAGCTTCTTAAGTCCCACCAGTGAGCCTGAGCTAGGGAAGGACAACTCATAAAAGCACAACCACGGACTACCTTGTAGAACAGAACCGCGTGCCAATTCTCTCCTGTTTCCTCACAGCCTACAAGGAGAGGCTGCATCTCCCACACACGATCTCTGCAATGCTTCACCAGAAATAATAGTCGCATAGAGATAAAAAAAGAAGCAAGTAAGCAAAAGCAGCATGCCAGGAGTAAGATCTGGTTACTGCTTACAAAATACCTTTAGGAAAAAAGACATCCAAATCAAAGAAACTCAGTATAGGGGAACAGAAAATCAGACATTAAAATAGGAAAATACTAAAAAAGTTAATAAGACTTTTATTCAGTAAAGATAAAAAGATTTCACAACAAGTATTGAGAAATTATATATGTATGCCAAATGTAAATGAAGCTTTCCAGAAAGCCAAGTGCACTTTGGCATCACCTTTCTTTTTTTTTCTGAAGGCTTCCTTCTTGTCTCTTTCCAGAGGAGAAAAGATGGTTGATACTCTTGGACTTTTTTACATGATTTGGTGCATGATGCTATTTCATCCCTTGCATGCTGATACCTATTGTATGGAACGTGAGTAGAACGTTTTTGCAGCAATAGTTTGACAAACAGAGTTTAATTTCTCACCTGTGAGGGATATTTGTAATTAATCTGCCAATTATCATCTTGGACCTGCTAGATACAAGCCTCTATGTTGAACAAAAATAACAGGATATCCTTACTGAAATTGTTCTATAATGTTTTCAGTAGAGACACAAGAATCACCTATTAAGAACTTGACATTGAACTGGAGAAAAATGGAACTATCTTGGGAGAGCAGCTTGAATTTCTCTGAGTACATTTGTATTGTGGCCACGAATATGTCTTCTATACAGAAAAAGGTAAACTTGCTATTTATGGAAGATAAATAATGGCACCTCTTTCTTTACCTTTTATAGTTTTCATTTACTGTGAAAAAACGAATCAGTTACAAGTAAAATCTGATTAGTGGTTGTTTGCCGTCTAGAGTTTGATCTGTCTAGGGACTGTGGAAAGCTGCAGGTGCTAGCATGCACTCACTGTAAGAGGAGCATCCTGTGCATATGAGAAATCTGTGGGGACCAAAGTGGAAAGAAGGCTACTGCCTGAACTGCAGCTAAGCTGAAGCATGAAATAGGAATCTAGCTGCTGAAATAAAGGAAAGTGAGACTAAGGGAGACACCTAGAGAATTTTCCCAACAGCTGGGAGACTGAGCTGTGTGGCTCAGACTATCATACCGTGACAATTAAGCAGGGGTGACACAGTATAAAATCTAAGAGAGAGAGACATCCTTCAAATTAAAAGCGAATTCCCCAAATACTGTTACGCATCATCAGCGTCTCAGATTCTTCACACATTGGTTCTCAGTAAACTGGATGATGACACTAGAGTAGGTCTTGTTATAAGTCCACATCACCCAGAGAGAAAAGTAAGGAGCTCGACAGAGAGGGATTATTCAGCTCAGCAAAGCAGATGCCTTAATTAGAAATATGTATTACAGTAATGCATCACACTTTTATTGAAGACTATAGGTATAGTGCCATAGACTATCTTTCTTAACCACTGGGGACATCAGATGAGGACGTATCAGTGTGAAAACCCTTCTATTTCCCTTTGTCTAGGATCCTCTGATTAAATTCCATCTTGGTTCCCCCTCTTATTGACCATTTCCTGTGATACCATTAGGGTATTAGATTTTGGCCTGGGAGTTGAGTTGCTAACCTGTGCTTCCAGAGCCAGTATCATCCAATACAGCAGAGGAAAAACAGAAATAACACATTAATATGTTATTTTTCAGGTGGAGAGGGTCCCATGCCGCTTTTCAATGGAAATAAACCTGCCTCTCCACAATGGGGCAGTCTTTACCATTGAAGTACCAAACACAAACATTTCAAAAAAATGCACATTTATCCCTGGAGGTAATAATTGATGGTTTGGGTAAGATTTTCTCCATTTCATATCTTTTAAGGGTAAAAAAAAGGCTTAGAAAACAATTCCTTATACAAAAGCTAGCTACTTCCCTTGATTTTAAAAGTGGGTTTTTTTTTCCAAATCTGCTAAAATTATTGGCTCTGCAACAAATGTTTCCACAGTTCTTCAAGAAATGCATTAGTATAGACGTATCAATAATTGCGCTGTTCTCTTTCACATCAGGGCTCCAAAATAACACTGAGTAACGGGTGGTTTAGGGAAGGATTCAAATAATTGTTCTGACTGTGAGAAATTAAGATGACAGCACCTACAGCTGTATTAAATGTTTTTCTGCTGAACTGTTGGTGAGTTTGTCAGGACCCAGATCACAGAGCTAGCTAAAGGCAGAGGCAAGAGATCAGTTAAACCAGTCGAATGGGAGGAGGAGAGAGGAAAGAAAATGCTGATGATAGGCAGCTAGGAACAAACTGAAGGCAGCAATCTCCTGATCTGGCCCTGGCACACGCAGACCTCAAGTTCCCTCAGCTGGTGCTCACCCATTGAGCCATGATAATTGTTTGCAAAGATATTCTGAGCTCGCCCCGTTTGTTGGCGATCCAAAGTGAGATTTAGGCAGAGCATAGATTCATGATTCCAAGGTTGAGGTTCTAACGGCCTGTTTTCCATTTCCCTTTCACTTTTCTCCACTGAAGTTACCCAGTCATCAGCGGTTCTGCTGCTGTGCATAACTGGAGTATTTCACACTTGACAGAGGTGACAAGATTAGAAGCTTGCTCAGACTCAGGTAGAGAGAGTATTCCCCTACTCATCTCTTTCTTGGGACTTGGTAAAGGAACAATTCTCCGGGTGCTCCTCAAAATGCAAGACAGGACATCACCCTTTAAAACCCTTTGGTTTTGCTGTTTTTCCATAACTGGCTTAGTGTGCAGGTTCCCCACGCGAAACCCAACCCCTGCTTCCACAAGAATGGCCTTTCATTGATATTGCAGCGTGCTGCAGAAAATGCCAGAAAATTTACTGAAGGAAAAGAGAGAATAAGGCTGAGTATGACTGTACAACCCAGGGGTGAGGGAGCTTCTGAAGAACAGGAGTTTCCTATTAGAATGTGCTCCAGAAAAGGAAGTGATCAAGCCACTTCCTCCCAGGGTGAAAACCTCTAACAGCTGGGCTATTTGATCGGAAGGAACAACAAGTCCCACTGTGCTTTTAAAAGTCCCTATTTTTTAAATGCAGTGTTTAAGCACATCAGGAGAAGTTTTCTGACTGTTAATCCCAAAAGGAGAAATGTATCTCCCTGCAGCGCTACAAAGGCTGTTAAAGGCAAATATGCCTTGCTTTACTTATGTGAATGCTGTAATTGCTCACGGTGGTCACTGTTCAGTGGTAGCCAAAACTGTGTGAGAGTCCAGCTTTTTCTGTTTCCTTTAGCCACCACACACAGCTCTGCACTTGAGTTTCTATTCCTCTCTAGAGGCCTCAGGCTCCTGACTCTTCCCACAGAGGCCACAGAGCGCTGAGACAGCTCTCTCAGGGACGTGGAGCCTATTACAGGGTACAGAAGGCTAAAAGAGAGATACTGCATTTCTCAGTAGTGTGACACCAGCATTTCATTTTGAGCTGGAACAACTGCGAATCTACATGAGACATACCAAAGCACAGGAGCAGCCAGTGCTCATGTCAGTCTGTATTAGAGCAGCGCAGATTCCCTTGGACTCTAGTCTAGCTGATTTAATCTTAACTATGCCTTCAGCATCTAAACAATGGAACATAATCTGTACTGAACACAACACAAACATCTTCCAGTTATGCTACCGAAAATGAAGCACACCATTCCTAAAGCCCCACAGTAATCAGCTGAAGTCGCAGGTGCCTGAAATACCTAAGTGGATGCCGGGATGTTCTGATTTGGAGCAGTCATACCGTTTTCCCCCACAAAGGGACATGGGACGTTCCTCTGTTTGCAGGCATGCCCGGGACAGCCATTACAAATTTCTCCTGCGTGGTTTACAATGTTTCCCTTATGAACTGCACTTGGTGTGCGGGCGGGGATGCGCCAGGTGATACCCAATATTTTCTCTACTGGCAGAACTCAAGGTGAGTAGGCTTGCTTGACTCTAGGGAATTCTGAATCCCGATTCAGCGCATGACACTGCACGCGTGCAACTAAAACACCTTGCTGTACACAGAGAAGGAGAAGAGATGGAATGTGAGCTTTATGTTGAAGATGGAAAAGGGAGGCACACGGGATGCCACTTCCAAAATGTGGCGATAAAAGATGCAATTACTTACTTTGTGGTGAATGGGTCTAGCAAAGACTCCGTGATCCAGTTCTATGATGAGTACATCGAACTGTATACAATTGGTAAGTTAGTAAAAATTTTTATTTTATTTTTGGTATATAATAAAGGAAGTGGAGAATTTACTTCTGAGGAGAAAAAAAAAAAGTAAAATAAAATCTATAGCTATTAGACGATTCTGTACTGCAGGACAGGCTCTGATTTCTAATAGCTGAAAAAATACAGATCCAGAAATGAACTAGAACAAATGCAGAGACAGCCTGAAATAACAGCTCAGAGAAGTGGTGTGCACATATACGTGTACTCTAAGCGATGATATGAAAAGATTAAACTTTCAAGGCCGGGTTTCTAATTGCACTATCGAGCTGATGGGCTCTTTCCACCATACTGGAATTCCATCCCTCTTTGAGAGCCACAAGATCAAAGTGTCCTAAAGTCAGAGGGAGGATTCAATTTACAAATTAAGACTATTTTAGTTAAAAATGTAGATACCTACATGCGAGCTAGGTGTTTAAGCTCTCAGACAGATCTAAAGCAGGATTCAGATGCTGAAAAATATGCATATACTGCCATTTGAGACACAGTAAGACATTTAAGACTTATATAAGGCTTGCAGATGTAGCCCAGGACTGGTGAGAGACTAGTGCCCGTAGGAGACAGCTATGTTCACAGCTGAATCCTGCCAGTAGTCATTACGGACCATAAAGTCCAGTGAGGTGTTTAGCAGAGCTAACTTAAACATCACGGGCAGCATCGAGTAGGTCTCCACTGACTATAACGGTTAGACACCTGGTTCACGTGTACGTTCTGGGCACTCATCTTCAGATGGCTTTATCTTCTCGCTAAACACTACGATATATATAACCTCCATCCTTTATTCTATGGAGACTTGCATCGTCAAGATGAAATTTAGACACAAAAGAAAATGATATGATGCTGATTGTATTACTGAATTACACAAAAGCCTTCATGCCTTTTTCACACAAACTCCAGTTGCTTCAGATGCCCAGTACCTGAAGTGTTACATTGCCTAATTTCGCTACAGAATGTTACTCCTATTCACCAGATGATATGGGTTAACATCGGTAGAACACAGCTGTACACACGTTGCCTCAAGGTCTGAGGCATTTCACTATGAACCCACGAATTATAGCTGATTATTGACCATGTCGATACTAATTATTTCATTCCAGAAAGACTCACTCCTCCATTAAATGTCAGTGCCAATTGTACTGGTGAACCACAGGGCTGCATAATTGAATGGCAAGAACCCCTTACAAGTCATGTGGAAAATAAAGATTGTTTTCAATATGAAATTAACATACAAAAGAAGGTAAAAACAATGTATTGATTTGCATTTTACACCATACCTACCTACATGCATGCATATAACAAACTTACTTTTGTTTCCTTCACTTATTAACTGCTGTCTCATAAGCTGTGATGTTCTCCTGCTGTTCTTGCATCGTGTCACTCATTACCTTATTTGAAAATAATGAGATATAATGGGAAAAGCAGAAAAGCAGAGGAGAGCAGGATATGATTATGAGGGGTGTTTCAGACAATCAAATTTATACTTTTTCCAGCTAGTCCTCAGACAGTGAAACACCTCAAAGATTGGGAGAGCCAATCTTTGGGAGAGCCAAAGGATACAAGCCAGTATCCTTTCCAAAGAGTCACGTCAAATGGCCACACGATGGCAGCCCGGGATCAGAAACGAGAGCGCTGCCCTTGCTGTATCCTCAAGCTCGGTCCGAGTCCTGTCACGTTTTAGCTAGTTCCCAGAGTGCGCTTGTCTCTTTGCAGGCATTTTGTAGACACCGCAAAGCTCACGACTGCCTCCGAATTTCAACACACGGGACTGCTCTTTCCACTGTGCCTCCACACCTTTATCCCATCCCCGTGCTAGCGATCTGACATGCTTCGGCAGCCTTCCTTCAGATGACGTCCTTCCCTTGGAACCTGTTCAGGCCACCCCAGTCCCCATTTTTCCACACAGTGTGCATCAAAACTTCCTTTTTGAAATTAGTGTTGAAACAGAAGCCACTCTTCTGAAAAATTGAGTACACCAGCAACTCAGGAGAAATTTTACACAATCCCAGTGTAGCCATCAGCAATGGATACATTTACTTTCCAGCTAGTTACCCTACGCACTCTGTGCAGTCAGATGAAGTGCTATTCATCTCATTCTAAGGTAGATGACTGACAAATTGTGTTCTTGAAGTGCTTCCTTCTTTCCAGCGAAAGTAAGAGAAATCTAAGATGACCAACTCAGATGTAAACACTTAATCATGCAAATACCAAAAGCAAGCTGGGATTTATCCTATTCTCTATGCAGAGCACTACCAATTCAGTTACCAGATTACCACAGTAATTGTAAGAAAAGTGCAGGACAATATAAAGCATGTCACTTTACTATAGCTATGACAAGTTTCCATCAAGTACAACAAAGTAAATAAGCTGAGGTGTCAAATCCTCTTCCACAGATCTCCGAGCTTAAAAGACCTTATTTTAATAGCACTAAGACAAGAAAACAACAAGTTAAAAACCTGCTTTGTTCTGGGAGCTTTAGGAATCAGGGCAGGAAAATTCTTAGACCCCACAAACCTGACACAGAGACAAGAATTAGCACTCTTCCTCCCTGTCTCTGGGATATCTGTTTACCACCATGATGTGATTTGCACATGTGGATGATGCCTGCTTTCTGACAAATAAGGACTCTCTATTTACCCTTCTTCTGAGACACAGCTCAGATGCTTACTGTAATGGCAACTCCTTGGGCCTTTGTAGTACAAAAACCTTATAGGAAAGATCAATTAAGGGCTAAACATAAACATACGATTACAATAGAGTAATATATCATTAAATCTCATGAACATATTCAAAGCAAAGCCTGCAGCTTGCACACTGCAGACAATATGGATTATCTGGGTTGTGTATCTTATATGCATTCATGGTATTTACCTTCATAGCTATTTCAAGGAGCAATTGCAGTGTTTGTAGTTTTGCCTTTGGCTAGTATAATATGACAGTAAGATCTTGTGTGCAATACATAGAATGTTTTACATAAAGATATAGGCTATCACACAAGACTAATGTAATATGATGAAAGTATATTTCTTTTAAAGAAATGTATGTTACCTTTTCTTTCCTATGCAGCAGTCAGAATGGGAGGGATTCATCTCACCAAAATGTTTAGATAGGATTCAGTTTTAGAATCAGACCCCTATATGCAGGCATGAAATTCATCTCACATATTAAAACACCCAAATGTAGTTGTCTACATACAAGCCAGTCTCCCATTGTAGTCAATGCAGATCTAGGGCTCCCTTCAGCTGAGCACATGTAGGTGCTCCGTGCCACTTGAGATGCTCTAGGTACTTGCTGTAGCTACCCAGGGATAGCAGATGACACATACCTTTCTGGAGCAGCCATTCGAAGCAAGGCAGGATGCTCTGTATCAGCTAAAATGGCACTACACACCTAGGTTTAGGCCACTCGATAGACTTGCACTGCCTGCAGCACAGGGTGATGACTTCCACCCATAAAGAGCTCAGTAGGCAAAGAGTTATGGGGAAATACTGAGGTCTAACTTATAAGGCATCAAACGAGGTGTATGTATTTTTTGAAATGAAACATTCCTTTCAATAATATCTTTCTGACTTTTCCATAATGCCAGCTATCCTTTTGACATTACATGTGATAAATGTTTTGAGGATCTCAGCCTTTCAATGTCTTCCAGGATTGTTATTAAAACCACTACTGGTGATTTTGTTCGCTCATTTTGCATGCTGTCGTCTTTGTCTTAGATGTTTTGCATTTTTCAGGTTCTTTGACCCAGGTCAATGTTTGATTCTAGTCCATTAAATGTTGACTGTATGGGATGTATGACTCTTCATAGTATTTTGGGAAAATGTTTGGAAGGAAAGGAAATTTGTTGTTCACATCAATTTCCTGACCCATGTCATTAAACTATTGTGAAATCAACACCTTACAGATATGCTGTGTTTGGAGGATAATTTGACTGCTTGAATAATTTCCATATACTTCTGCTGGACAATAGTGTACATGTGTCTTTAGAAGCAAATGTGGCTTCGTACAACCATTGACAAGTAACTTACATTTCCTTTCTTTTTCAAAATGAAATGGATGAAGCCAAAACTCTGAGTAAAATTCTACATTCTGAGGCGTTATTGGAGCAGAATTTCCAATTGAATTTTTCAGTTAAAAATTACTTATATCATTATAAGCAAGAAAAAGAGTATAAAAGAGAAAGAAATATTTGGTTATCGGAGAAGAAAATCATAAAAATTAAGATTTGTATTTGGTTTTCAGGATAAGCCCAAAGAAGAGAAGACAGATCCTCCTGTAAGAGTAAGGTTTCTTGTTCTACAAAAATATTGTACTTTTGCTCTGTTTAGCATATAGATTACCATGAAATAGAGTATCGTTACTTCTAGATCTATGGTTTTGGTACTAATATAGCAAGAAGAACTCAGAAAGACATGTGCTGTAGAATCTTTATATGTAAGCTTCTTAAATATTTTCCTTTAGGATACTACACCAGGCAGAATTTTCCATGCATTTTATGAAGCATCATATTTTTTGTTTATTTCACAAATACATTTTGATTGAGGTTAGATGTTACACTTTGTTTAATGACAAAGTGGAAACATTCTCTTTCTTCGCTCTTTCTTGCATTTAATGGTGGAAAAATACCATTGTAGTTTAGGACAGCTAGACTGAGGAAATGCAGTGATTTTTAAAACCTTTGAAAGTCAATTCCAACATATACCGCCAGTCTCCCCTTTACAAGTGTACAGCTCTCTTAGCCCTAGAAAGCATCCTAGACTTAGTGGACTCCAGATTTTGTATGAAGTAGTGCGATATCGGATGGCACATAGCTGCTAGTGGACTGTCTCAAGAATACTGTTTGTTTAGCAAAGACAATCACCATCCAGGAAACGTATCCTTTGCGTTATTGATCCTTGTAAGGGTTGTAAGCTAAACTTACAGGGTATTTCTCTAGTTTCAGTTTTCTGTCCTTTAGGATCCTTAAAAAAGGACAGGAACAAAGCATCTTTAAAGCATAAGAGAGTAAATTCAAGACCTAACAGAGGATTTACAGCTTCAAAACAGAAAGATTCTATATTAGGATGAGCTAATTTTTCATACTTCCAAATTTGGGGAGAAGAACATTTAACCACAAGATACCTACTAAATCATACAAATTACATTTCTGTAGAACTTGGATGAGAAAATTAAAACCTGAATTTTATTAGCACTTGCATATGAGGTGAAATACTCAGTTTAATTGCTTTGATTTTAGGTAAGGAACTACAGATATGAATTTCAAAACTTCAATGTTAAAAAAAAATATATTCTGAAAATCAGAGCACGTGGAAAAAACTGTCTTGTAAACTCAAACTGGGGAGAATGGAGCGACCCCATTGAGTTTGGTAAGAACGTGATACTCTCTTCATCTAGATTCTTTTTCAGTATTACCTTGTTCATCTTCCTTTCTCTCTCACGCTCACAGATATGAACAAAATCTTAATTCCTATCCACTGACATGGAAGGAACAGGATGGAAATTATGAACATACAGGAGATGCCCAAATAGTATGGTGTTGAAGGCTGACACGAGTCTCTGATTTGTTGTGTTTGTAAAAGCAGCAGGTACCCCGCTGCCAGGGTTATAAGTACAGCCTGAGACAGACCCACTGTTGTCCTTTGACAGCTCTGTTGTTACTGTTTTCAGTCTTTGAAGATTTTTGTCATGGATATCATTCTCTTCCTTCAGACTATTCCTTTTCTCTTATCAAAATTCTTTTCATAGCTTCACCGCCTTTTCTGTGTTTTTCCCAAGAATCTTAAGGTCTGTGGCCCTGTTTCTCCTTTTGTGTATTTTAAATTGTTCTAAGTTTAAAATGTGTATATTTTAAGTGTACCTGAACTTTTTGTTAACAGTCTGTAAGATACCAAGTCCAAGTTGCTCAGATTATTCCAGAAGTTATGTGATAACAGCATTAATTACTATTGATCATGAAAGCAGTTTTGTGGCTTGCTATGATTTTTCTCTCTTGGGTGTTTCAGGTCCAGGAAAAGATGATTTTATTTTTGTGATTTTAATTCTGATAGCACTTGGAACAATCTCTGCGACATTACTCCAATCCTTCCTTTGCAAAAGGTAAATCAACCTTAAGGTAAGGTAGCTATTTCTATGAAACACAAGCATTTTCCATACCTCACAAAACTAAAAGTACTCAGCTATTATATTATATGTCATGAATTATTACTACCAGTATTGCTTTGGCTGGCAGTGAGCATGCAAAATCATTACTATGAAACAGGGGAAAGGATATTACAGTTAATCAGCGATGCAAACCAGATCCTACAAAAATGAAACATTTCTGTTTTTACTTTTACGTATTTAACATTCACATTGCTGTGAAGTAGTTAGCTTCACCAAGTACCAAACAACTGGGAATCAGGACAAATGTGTCATTATTTTAATAAAGCTTCTTACCTGGGGTAGAAGAGAGTGGTTTATTTTGTGTGATTTATTGAAATTGATTATTTAAGAAAGTCATTTATTGTTAATCGAATCACAAAAGAAAGCGTAGTTACCCAAGTGCAAGAATAGTTACCACCAGTTTCCATTTAAGATCTTTCTCCTTCTTCTCAAAGTGATTCGTCAAGCAATACATGTCCAATCTTGAAAGTAAGAAACATCCTTAAAGAACAGGAGATGTTTGTGCATGTTGTATTCCCAATATTTTAATTTCTTCACAATTCTGTTTTGTACCCAAAGGTACTGCAGCTCCAAAAGAGTATTTTCTCCCATTCCACACCCAAGAGACAAATTTAACATATTAACTGATGAAGATATCCAGGTACTACTTCTTTTCAATTTAGTCAAATCTGTTAACTAGAACCCACCATGGGCTAGAAGAATTGGCACATAAAGAGTTACATTATGTTCATTAATATATGCAAAGTATGTTGGTTTGAATCTAGAAATTTTTTCAGGGCAGTGCTGAGACTAGTACTAGATTATCCTGTATGCATTTGCAGCATATATTAAGGACAAAGTAATCATTTTAACTGAGATTGACAATTTCTGTGCATACCAGTCTTGCTAGGTTGTCATTTCTACTTTGAAAAACACCAAAGTGAAGAAACATTTGCTATTAATATTTGTTAATACTGATAATACAATGTGAATGTTTTATAATTCTGACCCATACCCATTTAAGAAATGTTTTACACTGAAGCATGGAAAATAGGGCAGCAAAGAATCTCATCAGCTTTTTGATGTTTTGTCCAACTTCACTACCAACATTCTGCAACGTTCTTACAGATATCTATTCTCTAATAAGTAGTCTATTCTAATGCTCAATTATCCTTACCTTTATAAAGTTTTTTGAATATATAACCATTATTTGTCCTTAATCCTTTCCTGTTTAGTGTCTTACATACTTGAACACCATCAGCAAAACCTAACTCCTTCAATTTTTCTTTACCTGCCATACCTAGACTTCAAATGATTCATTTTTCTCTTCCTCCTGTCCTTCTAATTGGTCCACTTAGAGACTGGTGCTAAAAACAGTTTGCATTGTCTCTGCATAGCAGTAGAGTGTTTTGTATTAGCTGGTTAAAGCGAAGGTTTTTTGTTTGTCTTCTTAACATTAAACAGATCATGCTAGCTTCTATTACCTGCAATGTTCAAGCGGGTAACGAAACTCTTAAAGAGGCTTTTAAAAGCGATACTGAGAATTTTTTCTTCAATCTTCTACTAAGAATCCTCAAAGCGATTATTACTGACTAAAACTCTCCAATTTTGGTAGCTATACCAACAAATTGTACTCTCTATAGTTTTAATAAAAAGCAGATAGCAGTACAACTTGGACGAGTTTTCTCATACACCTTTTTAAAGTCATAAATACCTGATATCTCACCCCACGACATTCAGCCAGAGCTAAGGCAGCAGGTCATAGTCTATCAAGTTATTAAACAGTAATTGCTAGTAAAGTAGTAAGCAGTCCAAAAATCGCAGACCCTCTATATTGCCTATTTTTACTAGGCTAGGGGGGTTTATTTTTCCAAATCACTGCACGAATACTACCAAAATTATGCAAGTCACTCCGCTACAAGCCAGAAGTCTTTGTGAATATGGTTTCATGAGCTGGCACAGGTACTTCCATGCATGCAGTAACTGATCAATAGCAACTGTCAGTTTTCAAACGATGACCTCTGCTCAGGTTCATGCCTGCAAACTGGTTAACAGGATGACAATTTGTATACCTAATACACCTTAACAATTTCTAGCCCATTCATTACCTGCTGTAACCTAATTTCTTACCCCTTCTTCACTGAGACTACCTATAATATAGATACCCAAATGCTGTGATTGAAACTTTTAAAGTGGGTATGAAAGCAAAAATGTATTACCTCTGCAGAGCTGTCCCTCTCCACTGAATACCAGACTCCCTCTCCCTAACACTTCCAGCTACTGGTAATATATTTATGGCCTGTTTCAAAACTTTCAAGGTTCTCCACCAATTACACTTTTGAAGTTTGCATTTCCTGATTCTGTTGCTACTATGATAAACTTCCAGATTTTCCTCAGTATTTTGCCTTTCTCACATACAATAATGCTTTTCCTTAGACCATTGAAAAACCTTAAGATTTATTAAGGATATAAGTGCAAACTCAGCACAGAAAATACGTTCATTAAAGAATTGCCCATTTTTTGTATTTGTTTTGGAGAAGGTCATTGGTACCTCTATTCCTTTAATTCATCATTTTATCTCTGTAAGCTTCCTTTGCTTTGTGGTCTTTCTCACCCCAAATGTTTTCACATCCTCAAGCAGTTCTTCCACTCGGAATTAAGTCCGACACCTTCTCTTCACCTTCTGTGTGACATACATCCCAAGATCTTGCAGGACATGTTCTGTGTGCAGACATAGTATTTTCGTCAATGAACACCTGAGTGGTGCAAGTTCCCATGAATGTCAAGTCCTGGAGCAGTGACCAGTCTGCAGGTTCCCCAGGCAACTCCCCCAACCTCCATCAGGACATCCTAGTTCCATGCTCTGTAACACACCCTCAGCATGAGAGCAGGCAGGTTTTTTAATAGAAAAAGCATAGGGAGAGAAAGTACGCCTATTCCCTCCAATAGTTTGAGCCTCAGTGCACAAGTCTCCCAATATTCCAGTTTCAGTACTATGATCTTACTTACCAACCGCTACTCCAGGATAACACTTACTGAAGCTTTTAAGTGTTTTAGCCAAGTAAAACTATGATAGCAACCAAAATGTTTTACTCCTGCTGTAGTATAGTTTATGTCTACACAGGGAAAAGTCAGGCAATATGGAAGAGTGCATACAGAAGAGACTTCTTCTTGCACTGTCTCAATTATTGAAGCTGTTCAGCATTTAATCCCTGCCCCCCTCCCCCCGCAATAGAAAAAGCTAACATTGATCATACAGGTTAAAGGTAAAATAATCCTACTGTCCTTAAGTTAGGTCAACCTCCTGTTTTAACTGTTTCTTACACATCAAAATAGTAAGACTGGGTGCCTCGGGTACTAGTATATACAACAATATTTCCTCTGAACGGCCTCCCTGTTCACAACAGTAAATTTGTAGTATATTGCATGTTAAAGACTAATACATTTTTCTCTCTCTTCAGAAAGAATATGTAAATCTACCAAAAAAAAGTTACATTGAAGACATAACTATGGTTGAAGAAATGACCTAACTTTCAAAAAGGAAAAACAAAGCACTTGTATTCCTCAGCTAAATGAAAATCGTACAACCTCCTGACAATTCAGGAATATTCGGTGTGTTATTCACAGTCCAGTCTAAAAAAGACCTCAAAGCTTTTTTCCATTAAGATCTATCTAAAGGGACCAAGTAATAAAAACAAACAGTAAGATTTGCTATTTTCCCTTTGTTCAAAAACATGTCTGGCAGCTAGGCATTTCTGCAAATGCCTATCAAGCTTGCTTGAACCTTACTGAGATTTTCTTCAAATAAGTAAGACAAAGCACTTCAAGCACAACATAGCCTAAAACTTGTTATGATTTCCCATCTTCATTGCTATATCTCTTTCCTCTGATCTTAAAGCACACAATTGTCCTGTATGAAATCATTGAGAATGACCTGGTATTTTCCCAGCTTATCATTTTTGTATATCCATTATGGCATTTTCTGAAGCAAAACTTAACTTATTCAAAATCTGTGTTCAAAACTGCCCTTCAACCGTGCTTGATCAGCAATATAAAACTGTCGCAAAATACTCAATAAATTTTATTTTCATTCTTTCTGCAAAACTGAAGAGGGAAACAAAAAACACTTGTCAGAAATAGCTATTAATACTGGGTCACCAATTAGCCATGTCAAAATCCCACTATTTCAATGGAAATGTGAACTTCCACAATATTTATATGGACTTAATTAACATAGATCACACTGAAAAGTCTTCAGTATGTTCAATACAATACATTTGCTAGAATTATAAAATATAATTGTAAGTGAGCTTTGGTAACTGTGATTTTAAATTTATTTGAAAATTTCCTCACACCAATGTATTTTATTCCCTTCACACTGTACAGCTCATACTTCCATGTTTTTATAGTAGAATATACTTTAGATGCTGGCTTTTTCTTTAAAAATTTCAGATCTTCTTTTTTATTTTTTCCCCCGAAATAAATACACTTCACCAAATAATTGTTTCAGGAAGGCAGGAAACAAATTTTTTAAAAGTCTCATTTATTGTTTGCCTCTTGTGTTCCCACACTGCATAATCACACATTGAAAATTGCTGCTGCATGACTAATGAAAGTCATATCCTTGAAAAAAAATGAAGAACACCAAGTAGTACATGCTGAAATGCACAGCAGAGGTATAAAAAACAGTTCCACTTTAAAAATAACCCACATTTACATTGCTTTCTTATTTGTCCTGCTTAAAACCAATTCTGGAGAGGGCTGGGGGGGCATGAAAAAAATTTCACCCCCCTTTCGAGGGCTGCTCATGTCACTACGTTTGGTTCTTTCTCAGAGCTGAGGCCACCATACACTCAGAAAGGTTACACAAGGTATTGTGTCCTTATTTCTACCTCTCAAGCCACTGATACATAAAAAACCAAGTGACATTTACACAAACATAATAACCTTTCCCCCTAGTCAGCATAATCACAACTGAAACAGCAGCTTGATTGACAAGGCCAATATCAAATGACCTACCCACACCACATCATCGAACAAGATAAAAACACTTAAGAATTGCTTGCAGTAGGTATATGAAGTTTGCTAGTAGCCTGTATACAATGTAGCTACATACTTACATTCATAGAGACGCTGAAAGCAGTGCTTGTGCAATAGTGAAAGGAACTTCACATCTGAGAGAAAGATAATTATCAGCCAAAGCAAAGTACTTAATTTAAATATCTTATCTTGAGTAGCAACCTCAGAAGGCACACAAAAACCCTCGGACAGTCAGCCTTCAGTGACTGTTACACAACTTCCCCCTCCACACACAGATGTGGAGTTTTTTTTGTTTGTTTTGGTTTTTTAACACGATTGGAAGCTGAACATCTCATTTTCTTTTACTGGTCCCCCTATCTAGTTGCTTAAGGAAACATATATTTGCAAATTACAAAGTACAAAAGGAAGATTACGTACATAGAGAACAGCATATAGGTGTTACTATATCCCAAATAACAGAATGACAAACTGTTTAGCCTGCCTTTAGTCTTCAGACTAGAACTTTACAACTAATCAGCATAAACTGAAGGCTGACCTATCTTTATCCATATTTTACAGCTAACAGAAGCATACATATTCCCCCTATCCCCCAATCAACTTCATCTCTTGGAATGAACTTTTTTCAGTTTAAATTCACCATCCACAGAGGTACTGACTACTGCTAGAGATCAGTCCAAATAAGACCCTGAAGGGCACAATCAGCATTTCCAAACAGCAGCAACAAAATAGAGATAGATTACTTAGGAGTTGAAGGCGTTTCACAAGGTTTCTGGGTTTTTGCATGAATGCTGTGTTGCTTTTTATTATTTCATTTAATGCTGTTTTACCAAGGGCAAGAGCATTCCTAACTCATTTTTGACTACCCTTGGGTTCTCCTTTTAGTACTACAATAAAAGGTCCTCGTTTTACAATATATGACGGCAAGTTGCAAATCAGAGTAAGAATCATGCAGAAAGCCACTTGCAGCAGCCTATTATACACTATCAGGCACAAAAGAGTGGTTTCTATTATTACAATCCATGCTCCCCCCCTCCACCATAAAGGTCTCACATTCAATTATTATAAAAAAATAAAAAAAAAATCAAGCTTATTCTACTTCAGTGCAGTGTAGGTTTATCAGAGGTACCATTACTTGAAACGAACTTTCAGCCAAAAGAGACTTCCCCAAAGCTTAGATGTAATAATTTCAACACAGACAGAGTAAGTATGTTTATTGTTTTTACAGCAGAATGCCCCAATTTAAGAACATAATTGCTAGATGTTCAACTGTGCAAAATGGTACATAGTGCTTCAGTACAAGTGGAAAAGACATGATTTGTTAGCAAGTACTTTCAAATACAATTTTATGGTCCTAGAAGATGGGACTTGAAACTGGGGACTGATCCACAGGCATTTTTTTCTGCCTGAATTGGACCCAGTCACTTTGGACCCAGAATCAATGCCACTGATTTCTCACTGCTGGAAAAAAATCACAACACTGAATTGCCAGTTTCAGTGTCCCCATGCAGGTCAACAAGAAATAGATCAGTCCCTTATGCCAGTTTCTAGCCCCGTCTACAAATATCTGGCTCCGATAAATAAGACTCACAGGAATTTCTTGAAGGTCAATGGTCCATAATGATAGTTATTCTACATGATCTGCTCAACTTGCTTTCCAATTCTAGTTAGGCTATCTTTAAATGACTTTCTTGAATTCATCATACAGCACAAGCACAAAGGCACCCCCCATGCCTCTGAGAACATTAGACCATGCACCCTTGAAGAACGCTTTTCCTCCCTCATCCCTTGCAATCTTCCGCCAGCAGTCAACTGTTCCAGAGTACATGATATCAGCTGTAGAAAAAAGCAAAGAATAATTTTACTCCTATAATTACATTTGAAATATTTCTGTCAACAGCCCTGTTTCACTTCACCAGCTACCTTGTGGCTTCTCAAATCACGTTGAAGGCTGTTATACACCACTCTTTCAGGCAGCAGCAAAGCTTCCAATCCTCTTGCCTCGTCATTACAAGTTAAGTCATACAATAAGAATATGTTATTAAGCTTTCTTTTGGCAATTATATTGTTACCTAATTGTTAGCATCTAATTTGTCATTACAAACAGGCAATTCTTCCCCAGCGCATGCTACATGCTCTATAAAGAAGTCCTCAACCCAAGTACTCTCAAGCACTGTCACAACACAAGTTATGAGCCCTACTGTAGTTGCCCATGCAATAGAACTTAAGTCAGCTTAATGATAACTAAGCGCTGCCAGATGACAAGGAAAAACTTCATCTTGTTAATGCTGCTTCAGAACTGTGTAAGTTAATAGCCTACCTCCTTTGCGTCCTGACTGCATCATCATCCTACGCCGAACTGTATCAAAAGGATAGGAGACCACACCAGCCACAGCAGTCACTGTCTGTGCAATCATCCAACTGATAACAATATGAGTATTTCTGGGATCTGGGAGCATGCCTACAATAAAAAAACCTCATTAGCTTTTTATCTTATACCTCCTCTTCCTTCAGTGCACTCACTGAACGAATGACAACTACTTTTACTTTATACCTTTACAACATTTTGTGATAGTTTGAAGTCACAACAAGGCACTTCATGCAACAAGACTCTTTTAAAGACACTGAAACAACAAAAAAAAATCTCAGGACTATTCACATTTATTCTTAGTAATCAAAGTATGCAACATTTGGGTATCAGGATTCTTTCCAGACTGGCAAGAGCAAAAAAATGCTCCCATTTTTTGAAAAATAAATGTCACTAAAGATCATATTGTGTGATTTACATTAAACTGTTAGCTTGCATTAGTGGCACTATGCCCTACTATCAAGATCAACAAGTGTTTTGGTAAAACTGCTCAACCCCATTTGGCTGAGCACTAGTTAGTCTAATACAACTACACCAATGCATTGAAGAAAGACGATCTTATACAAATTGTGTATGATTACTAAAACGTATTATTAGCATTAGAAAAACACACTTGCTTTTAAGAACAAGGTAGAAAAATAAGATATTTGGGAGCAGCCCACTGTCAGTAAGATGCACCAAAGTTTTGCCTTCAGCAGTGCAGCATCACTGACATTGGCACTGGCAGATAACCCTTCCACCTTCTCACTCACATGAACTATAGTTACTATAGACAGACAGCGACAAAGAACAGACACAATGTTTAAAGACAGACATACAAAAAACAGGCAATAGAAAGACACATTCTGCAGAGACGTTTCTTATCACTTCCCTTCTAAAGTTTACCTTTTGCTGTATCATAGATTCCAAAGTAGGCTGCTCTATAGATGATGATACCCTGGACAGAGACATTGAACCCTTGGTACAAGCCACGCAGACCATCAGACTTGGTAATTTTGACTAGACAGTCCCCCAGGCCAGAGAATTCTCTGTCTGCACCAGCTTTTCCGACATCAGCAGCCAAACGGGTTCTTGCAAAATCCAATGGGTAGACAAAGCAGAGGGAAGTGGCTCCAGCTGCTCCACCAGAAGCCAGGTTACCAGCAAAATACCTCCAGAATTGAGTGTGCTTGTCTACTCCTCCTAAGAACACCTGCTTATACTTATCCTTGAAGGCAAAGTTGAGGGCTTGAGTTGGGAAGTATCTTATGACATTTGCCAAGTTGCCACGCCAGAAGGACAGCACTCCTTGTTCCTTCGGAATACGCACTACACAATCGATGATACCCTTGTACTGCTTATCAGCAGCAATTTGTTTACTCGCATGTTGTACCTGCAAATGAAAATACATATTTTCACTGTATGTCTTGGTAGGCCTGCAGACAACCGAGCTTAGGTCTGCTTATACTATAAAACAAAGAGGCACTAAGCTTGAACACCTGACAGCAGCTGACTGTGGAGACTAAGCCTGTTTATGGTAACATGCCAGCTGTAATGGCAAACTTCCAAGAAGCTCAAGAACTGGAGTAATTCTGAATGGAGAGACTAAAAAGAACTGCCATTTATTGGTATTTTAGTCAAGATCAGAGGCCCAGTTACCTCAAGAGTTAAGAGTTGTTTTTTTTTTTTTCTTACACAAAGCAGGATGTAGGAAGAAAGATTTCCTCAAAAATCAGGACCTCATCATTCCAAAGGCCAGAAAAACGGCTTAGAATTACCTCCTGGCTTCCTAACAGTTCAGCACTCGCCAAGCTAGGAAGGGCTGGCAGGGGGCTGCAGCGGCAGGCACAAGGCAGGTGAGGGGCCGGAAGGCGGAGAGCCTTCCCCGGGGGTCGGCAGGCCGGGGGGAGAGGGCGGCTGCCCGGTGCCCGTCGCGGCGCCCCCTCCGCCCCCCTGGGCGGGGCC